AGATGTGACACAAATATGCCCCATTGAAACTTCTTGTACTGATTGAAAAAAGGTGTAAGCTTACATTTGCAGCACACTTACAGGCATTATACCAGTGACCAGTGTCTTCTGGCAGTGAAATGTGTTGCTCTACAGACTGGAAATCATTCCAGAGTATAAAAGATGGTGATGGAGACTTTATGGACTGGATTTCATACTTCAATATACATGACAATGAAAATATTTATACTCAATTTGGATACTGAGGAAAGCAAAGACTTACCATTACTTTGCCATAACATTGCCGACTCCCTAATATGTATGATGGTGAAGTACAGGGTTCAGTGGCTGTCACAAAGGGGTTACTTTGGAGATGTATAGCTCAGACTTTTTTATTGCTCCCTGGGTAGATGTGTCATTGCTCTAGGCTAAGCAATAAATAAATGGATATGTAACTAAGCAATGTTTGCATTATGATGGGAAAGAACATACTTTGAGGATTGTCCGTTAAGATAGTTTTTGCAAGATTAAAGAAACCAAAATAAACTATTTAAGCAAATCTAATTTTAATGAAGTTCACCACTATAGGGAACACGTTGCTATCTAGATGCCATCAATTTTTTTTGTTTATCAGTAATTCAATGGTTAGAAGGTTAAACACACAAAAAAACATTTCAGTATTTATTGTTACACATATGCAACTTGTATAGCTCCCATTGGATCCCACTGTGCTTGTAATGGTAAGCATGTGTTCTTTTAATACAATAAAGATTGAGAAAAAGATTGAACAATTTATTTTGGTTATGCTTGAAAATCCCATTTGTTAGAGAGATAATAAAGTTGTGAAGTCCATTTCTTACATATTGTAAATGTAGTTTAATGCTAAAATACAAATCTCTGAAGTATAATAAAAGTAGGAGCCCTTGAAGTGAACATGTCACATATCATGTGTATAACAAGTTCACATTCAAGTAGGTATAGATTGAATCTATACATCATGCTGGCAAAATCACAAGCAAGATTATAGACTAAGATATTATTGAGTTAATTCCTTGCAGACTTCATCCATGTGCCTTGGGCTATATATTGTTGCTATTGGCAA